AAGTGTGACTAAACAGACCTATTAAAATAAAAAAATGGTTCGGCGGTGGCTCATGTTATAACGTATTTTTTAATCTTTTTTGTAATCTGTAGTTATAGCGGGTATTATTTTGTCTCAATTGATGTCAAATGACAGTGAATTGGGTAGAGCGAACGTTCCTTTAAATGGATAAAGATTTATAAAATGACGATGATTGATTATTTTGCTGTCCGTAGTCAAATATGTGTCTTTATATATAATATATACATATATGTTAAGTCACGGAAAATGACGAATTATGCCGATTTGTCATTACGTAATGACAATTCAACAGAACATTAAAATATTATTGTATGTTTTGCTGGTAGAACATTGGGCAGGACATACAGCAGAACATTGAAAGAGCTAGGTTCACTAAGCACTGAAAATGGCCCAACTTCAGAAATTGATGAAAATCCCTCTAATGATAGTTAAATATGTGTAATTGATAAAATTAACATTCTTGATCATAAATACATAGCGATGACGTCACTTGTCGTCTCTTAATTGAAGCACCTGTTCATCCAATTACCGGCACTTATTGATCTCGCAAAATAATGAAATTTATTTTATTTGTTTCCTATTTATTTAGATTTATTTTAACACCACTTAATAATTAAGATGCAACAACATGTATGCAGTGTAGCTAAGAATAAAACATTTGTTGGCAATAAACCAGTTTTCGGATGGAAAAAAATTCGGACAACTTGGCATTTTTGTTTTGAAATCTGTTTTGTTTGAAAAGAATATAATTCCAATGTTTTTATATATTATCTCGAAGTCATTCTCTTGTGAAATCTTAAGTTTTGTTAAATCTACCTCAGATGGATTGATTAAAGATTTAAAAAAACGGTACCAGGAATAGTAAATAAATACTTTATTTATGAATGTACCATTTCTACAAACTATTAAATAACGAATATGAAGCGCATGTATCAAACAACTCATTCAGAAAAACTGTATGATACAAACATGGTGTAAACAATATATTAAAAAATGTGATTTTAATTTTTAAAAAAGGAAAGTACAATAATGTAGGAATTGGTATCTTTACTTTCTTGAACTTAAAATTATGATACTGATTCCAAAATCAATAATATAAATCTATTATTATGCAGTTCTGAAAACAATGTTACATTTTTTTTGTATGAAAAGTTTTGTGATATCGTTTGAAACATACCTATGAAAATCTTAATTTGGCAGCTTGATTTCAAACTAATAAATGAAACAGATCCTTGGAAATACTTAATTGAAAAATTAAAAGAATATAACAATAAGAAAGAATCAGTTCATTAATATAACGAGTCGTGTTTGTATGTCATTTTCTGTAAACAGAAACTAACTCCATAAACTACTAGATACAGTTCATGTAACAAATTATCATCCCGAAAAATATTTAAATGTTTGTTGTTAATAAAAAGAAGTTATTTCCTTTATATGTAAACGGTAGCAAATAGTGAATTATAACAACTACATCTTAAAAAAAACTTATTCACTTATTTAGTGCAAAAGTCATGACGTCACTGTGTTATATATATGCGTTGTAATAGACGCCAACGAAGTCCGTCTCGCTCGAAAGTTTCGTCAATCTCACACACTGCGGCATCTGATAAATGAACACTCCAGTCACGAATGCCGTAACATTCTCTTCCGCTATGACTCCCGTTAGAAAGGTACCACACTATAGCAGCTATATGAGCACACAACCCAATGAGTCTGGAGCCACACCTGCATGTACCACCAAACTACTGTCTCGTTTTCCACTTTAACCCAAATCATGTATGTTTGTAAAGATGTGTGCTTGCTTGGCATTTTGACACTTGGTTTGGATCATCAGTGTTGACTATAAAATAACATTTTTATATAAGTTATTTAGGATTAAATGCGCTTTAACTTCGAAAAGTAAACTAAGAAAATGTACAATAAATAGAAAACGTCCTTAGGTACTTAAATAACTTCGTGATTGAAAATGTTATAAAAATGTCCTTTAAAGGCACATTATGACTCATAAACGGATAGATTTTTCTTATGTAAAAAGAGAAAATGTATGTTTTATAGTTTAGTAATAATTGATTAAGAAAACGTATGATGCTTTTCACATAACGAAAATGACGTTTTAATGTAAATTTATTGATAATTAAAATACGAAGGCAGCGAAATGTAAACAAAGTTGTATTTTGACTTCGATACACAATACACAAAACTTATTCGCCACAACTTTACTAAATGTCAAAATGGAAAAAAAGTGCCTAGGAGTACATAGTCCGTTTTCTATCTAGTTCAGTCTCTTCTATCATTTCTGCAGCTCGTTTTTCCTCTCTAGCAGCCTGACCATTTTTGCAGCAATATCAATTTCGGATTGGTCTGTGCTACTGAGAGGTGGGAAGTACTTGTTTGAAATAGCACATACAATCCGAACAAAATCGCTAATATATTAGATTAGACTGTTTGCCATAACATGATCCAAGTTCTTGAAACGCTTTATACGAGCATTTCCTGACTCAACAACCCATCGAATCTGAAAATATAGAACACCGTTACTAAGATAAAAGAAGTTTTTGTTTTCATTTTCTGTTGTATATGTTCACAAAAATATTGCCGTTATTAAATTACAATGTATTAAAATATTTATTGATTTACAATAAACGATTTAAAATTACAGCTGTGATGGTAATTTTACGGCGAAATATGTGTATTATCAATATATGTAATACTATAAAAGAAGTGTGGGCGAGTGGGTTCAAACCCCGTTCCTTTACATTCATTGCTTAGTATGTGTAAGGTTATAGTCACTTACATATTGGGGTTATAGCTCTGGTATTAACCAAATCAAAATCAGGTTTTTTTTTTCTAATTTCAAATGCAAATGCAGACACATCAATATAATTTTGTGTATGTTAAAGATAATGTCATTATGTGTAAAATAATACATTTACAAGTATATTTACTAGTCAACATCTTACCTTGGTTACTAAGCGACTTTCATTGGCGTCATCAGATTCTAGTTGCTTCTGCCCCTTCGACATTCATTCGGGCATCTTGGCATGTATACCTATGTCTTCTGATCAGTTGTAAGAATCATTTTCAGCAACTGTTTAGCCTTCAGGAATGGGCGTCTTCCAGAAGGTTTTATTCTTTTTTCACAAACAATGCATTCAAAATGTTTGAACATTCTGAAACAAATATTATGAGCGATTTTCATTAAAATAAATATGATTCAAGTGAAATGAAAGTTATGTATGACTTTATTTCAATGAACTAATTTTGTTTATAAATGTAATCTATTTGGCTTAGCTTCAAATAAGAATAAATTATTATTTGTTTTTGGTCCGACAGTTAAAACATAGTTCACTTTTTAAATCTGAAGCAATTGAAATAAAAATAATGAAAAAAAAGGCAAAAAAAAATGCGACTTGAGTAAGTTTCGAACCACGATCTCCTGCATGGAACTCCACAGACTATTCCATTGTACTATAACAGACAGTGTTCACGGTAATGGAAGTATATGTATCTATATATAGTAAAGTAGTACAAATCTGTGTAAATATCAAACAAAAAGCATGCACTCTTTTCTTTTATGTTTTACCATATCACATAATACACTTAACGTGATCCGAAATTATGCATCGTTAATTTCATTTCGTTGCGTAGATCCATGATTGAACTCCTGTTCATTTTTGCTGTACATGACAGTCAATATTTTTATTTGAAACTGATTATTTACATACAGTAGAGTATAAATAAATACCAATAGGTAGTCTTAATTGCATAAATGTTATAAAATATGGTTCTGCAACATGTTTTTTTCATTAGGGGAAAATAAATACCTGGAATTGCACCTTATGTTGGTGTCTATCTCGAGTTGTTTACAATAGCGACGCTGTGTTTCGTACCCACTTAAGTTCGTCCAGTGATGTCGAATAAATGAGCGATTATCGTATTTCTGATGTTGTTGTTTTGTAAATACTCTGTAATAACTTATTTACAAGTTTTCTTTCACACTTTGCTTATTTATGCGTAATTTGTTATCAGAAAAGATTATAACGATGACTTTTAAGACGATAGGTCCCCTTTTATAATTATCAGGGGGGTGGGGGGACGGCGTAAATTTTCTTATTTTATGCTGTGAGCGCATGCATGTTCCACAAGCTAACGATGATTTATTGAAGGACAATAGAATTACAAATTATTCAAAGTAAGATTAAAGGTGGAACAAACGTGCGCTAATATTGAGAAAATAAAAAATAGCACCAGATTTTTATGAATTGTTCCAATTTTTGCCAGAATAGGGTCCTAACAACGTTACATTATTATTCCCTATACAACGATTTTTATAAAAGAAAAATGATTTTTATGATGCATTAATGTTGTTAATTAAAAACATAACACAATAAAAGTTTTTCCCTAAATTTTATTTTCGATTTTTTGGGGGCCATTTTCAGTAGTTAGTGAACATAGCACTTTTACAGAACTTGCTGCTGAAGAGATATTTAAGACTAATCTTTACCGGAATAAATAAACTGGTTTGATTACAAACTATTTTTATAATGATTTGTTCTAATTTTTTTAATTCACTTAAAATAATGGGTCGATCATTTAATTTTAAAATGTGAAAATGGGTGTGATCTGTCGCAGCTTTGCCATATATTACAACTTTTCGGCCCTTTCCGTAAAAAAAGGAAAAAAAATATAAAAAAACAGAAACCTGCTATATGTACGTGTTCCAAGTGTCTAAAAAACCACCAAACACAATCGTAACGACTCGGCTTTCTTCGAAATTAATACACAAACTTATTGATGCCTCCCGAGATGTTCCGAATGTTTAAAATCATCCCGTTGCTAGACTGGTCCCCTGCGCACTTCTAAAAAGTACAGCTTGGATGGGAACCATAATAGGACAGGGAACCAGATTATCCCGTTGCTAACGAGTATTCGGTAATGTTTTGCTTTAATGGTAGATAGAAACATGCAATGTGACGTCACAGAAGAAAATGACGCTCCTCATTAGCAACGTCACATTGCGTCCGGAAAATTATAATCATGGCTGTTGACAAATCTTAAAAGCATGTGAAAAATTAATGGCTAGTGAAAATTCAGGCACTTTTATATGGCTCGTTAGCTTTAAGAAATCCTGCAGCGAAAGGGTGAGTAGAAAATTAAGAATTTTAGTATTCAATCCAGATCAATTAAGATCATAAATTAACTGGTTTTGCATCATATGGGCAACACATAATAATAATAATAATAATAATAATAATAATAATAATAATAATAATAATAATAATAATAATAAAAATAATAATAATAATAATGATAATGATGATGATGATAATAATGATAATAATAATGATAATAATAATGATGATAATGATAATGATTATGATGATGATTATAATAATGATAATGATGATTATACATAAATAAATAAATAAATAAATAAATAAATAAAAAGATAAATAAATAAATAAAATAATAATAATAATTAATAGTACATGTAGTAATAATAATAATGATGATGATGACGATGATGATAAAAGATGATTAAAGATGATAAATAATGCACGGTGAAATAATAAATGAAAAAATGGTTATAATATTTTAGTGATTCTTATAGATATATTCATGTGCAGTACCGTTAATTTTATAGAGGAAACTTCTAGTAACAGGAAAATTAAATTCTTCTTAATTTTGAAAGAATCTTGATATTGTAATGCTTGCGGCTACAGAAAATCTACCACACGAAAATCAGTCAGTAAATGTGTGCCGTCTGCATGATCACGGTCGCTACTGTTTGCTATTAATTCAGTAAATGAGCCGCGTCACGACAAAACCAATATAGTGGGTTTGCGACCAGCATGGATTCAGACCAGACTGCGCATCCGCGCAGTCTGATCAGAATTCATGCTGTTCGCTTACCAACTCTATTTCAAGTAGAGAAACTGATAGAGAACAGCATAGATCCTGACCAGACTGCGCAAATGCGCAGGCTGGTCTGAATCCATGCTGATCGCAAACGCGCTATGTTGGTTTTGTCGTGACGCGGCTCAAATATTTAACTGTTCCCTTAAAATAATGAAATGTTTTGTTTAAAATGAACGTCATATCTATATATTAAAGATATTCAGGGTGGTAAAATGTTTTACAAGTAAGGAACATTGATAATATTTTACCAGAAAGGAACATTGTCTCTTTTATAGTTTGCAAGATTTCGAAACCGCTTGCGCCAAAGATACTATGCAAGACGAGGCAGGACTCTTGACCCAGAAACCTTGTTAAATGAAACAGGTACTGCCGACATGGTCGTCGGGAAGATTGCTGGAAAGTCAAACAAAGCCGTTCCTAAAAAGCTGTCATCTAAAAATGGTATAGTCATTTAATTTGTCATCATGTTTTCTAAATTAATTCTGACTTCAATATATTTACAAATTTTACTGCAGTAATATTTGTTTGACAAACGAAAATGGATTTGTAAGCACTCGGTATCTCTGTTATGTTGTTTAACTAATATACGGTATATATAAGAGTGACACAATCAAAATGACAAATGACAAAAAAAGGCAAATTCTATATATCAAAAGTCTCAAAACGAAGAATTTCTTAAGCCCAACACTTAAACTTCAAAACGCTGTCTACGAAATAAAAACAGTATAAGATAAAGTGTAATGATAATTTTCACATTCCTGCCTTTGATTGTGTTGAATTATAATACAAATAAAATAAAATAATAGAAGTAACTACATATGAAGCATAAAAAATCTGAAATCACATTCTTTTTTCAGACGATGCCGTAGATACAGAAAATACAACAGATACAGAGATCACAGCAGACGAAAACACCACAGCAGACGTTAAGGCCACAGCAGACGACAAGATCACAGCAGACGACAAGACCACAGCAGACGACAAGACCACAGCAGACGTGAAGACCACGGCATACGACAAGACCGCAGCAGGCGACAAGATCACAGCAGACGACAAGATCACAGCAGACGTTAAGTCCACAGCAGACGAGAAGACCACGGCATACGACAAGACCGCAGCAGGCGACAAGATCACAGAAGACTATAAGATCACATCAGACGACAAAAGCACGGCAGACGACAGACTTGGTAAATACAATCATGTATATTTTTTCCTACATATTGACAACATCCTACATTTCAGATAATATTAGATTTCAAAAATATTTTCTTTTTAAATTTTGTCAGAAAGCTAAAGAAATAACTCATAAGTGCAGTATTTAGCGACTTTGCTACATAACGCACCGCCACATTCTTGTTTATCAATTATTGCACGTTTTAATAAACTATATGAATATCAAAAATTGTATAAAATATTTCATTTGATATCAAAATTGAATGTACAAGTACAAAATTAATGTATTTTAAAACCGAAAATCACGCTCAAAATTATTAAGGTCATATGAATGTCGACAACGGCAATTCATTTTCACATGTGTCATGTGTTATAGTGTGACACTATGAAAAAATATTACGAAATTTTATATTTTTAGTTGAAGAATATGTATCGTGCATCATTGATAAAGCAGCAGACAGTCTGAGACAGGAGTTGCCTAGCAACACAACGACCGTAACAGTGAAGCCAGCAGACGACATCATTTCATTGTCATCCAGTATCATCAGCCGTAAGTGATTTACTTGATGCACAAGCCAATTGTAACAAAGTTCCTAATCCCCGGGGAACGGGCTTGTGATGGCGTAGGGGAAAGGGGCCGAGTCTTTACATTTTGGGCCTAAAATAAAATTTAATTTGTTTCCCCTGCCCTACCTACCCAACAAATTTGCCCCTACCCAAAAGATTTTTCAGGTTCTTAGGGGATGAAAGTATTGTTTTTCAATAGGTACAATCTAATCCTTATTTCAGACAGCTAGCATAGTTAATAAATTGTTGCATATGTCAGTTGTGAATATGTATAGGTAATGCATGTACATATACTATTGCACTTAATAAATTAATTTTAATAGTTCATTACACATATATGCAGATTATTTATTATACTGCACATATAAACAAATAACTTTCCTACCTACCTACCCAACCTATTTTTAATGGGTCGAGAAGGGGAAACAAATATAATTTTATTTTTGGCCTTGCTAGTCCCTGCTCTGCCGTGTCAATGCGGTGGTTGTCTTTGGTCGCCAAAAATTGCCCAGAATACCGCCATGATTAATCTTAATCTTTAGTTTAATCCTTATCTCAGCCATTTTACCTATTGCTGTTTTCTGTGGACGGGACCTTTACCAGGGGTTTGAAAATTCAAAAGTTAAAGTCCCAACTAATCCTTTGGAAAGGGTGCGTTGTTGATATTGACTTGTGCATAACACATATTGTTTGTTTGTGTGTGTGTGTGTGTGTGTGTGTGCGTGCGTGCGTGCGTGTATGCGTGCGTGCGTTTTCTTTTTTTAAATGAACGTTGCCTACATTTTCTGCAGTCTTTTATGACATAAATCTTAGACATATTGCTGTTATTAGACTGAGGTCTTACCGGATTTATTTATTTATTTATTTTTTAGCTTGCTTGTTTTCATCTTGACTTCCGGTAACTTTACGAGTAATTTGATATTTTTTCCCGGTAATGAGCAACGGCTTAACCACGTTAAACAACGGCCGATAATTCTTTTGTACAGACAAATCTCGCTTTATTTCTGTGTGTTGTACATTTTAATGTACATCACATTTATATTTTTCTTTCACAGAAATTGCTGATATGGCTGTAACGGAGAGCTTGTTAAATATTGTGACAGATGCCGACATCAACCAATCTGCTATTACAGCTGCTAGAACAGATACTAGAACTATCAAAGAATCCAAAGGTAAGAATTTATATTAAAATTTCTTGTGACAAATCATTGAGTCCTACACTCATCTTTAACAATTGAACTGAGTGTAGGACAAAAGCCTTCCCGGACAAAAGCCCTCCCATCAAAAAGTGGCAAGGCGGACAAAAGCCCTCCCGTGATAATGACAAGGCGGACAAAAGCCCTCCCATGAAAATGACAGGGCGGACAAAAGCCCTCCCATTAGGCCATAACAATTACTTGGCGGACAAAAGCCCTCCCGTAAAAATAATAGGGCGGACAAAAGCCCTCCGGCCCAGTAATTAGTGCTAAAATCTGTAAGGGCATATTTATTCATGTAGATACGAATGATTACTCCTATGTGAAGTTAAGATTAATAGAGTAATAAATGATAAAAAGAAGTTAAAATTATCTTACTTAAAAGTTTAAGACATTTATAATGTACCTTGTAATGAGTCAATTACTTTTAAAAGTGATTTTGTTTTTATCGACATTCGTGTAAAAAGTTACCATTTCAGGAAGGTATATTCAAAATAAAAGGTGATGAAAAAAGCACAGGTATTCAACATACATATTTATTTTTGTTACGGGAGGGCTTTTGTCCAATTTGTTAATTTCACGGGAGGGCTTTTGTCCGCCCTGTTATTTTCACGGGAGGGCTTTTGTCCGCCCTGTCATTTTCACGGGGGGGCTTTTGTCCTCCCTGTCATTTTCACGGGAAGGCTTTTGTCCGCCTTGTCATTTTTTGACGGGAGGGCTTTTGTTCGGGAGGGCTTTTGTCCGTTTTCCGTTAAAGATAACTGCACAATATTTCGTGTATAATGACACAACCTTAAGCGTAGAGATGACCAAGAGCAAAAACGTAACAAAAGTAAATAGTACTGAATAAATACGTGCATGTAAAACTGATCGTCAGGGACAAGTTGGTGTTTCCTTGAGCAAGAAACTTAACACTCATTGCTCAGCACTGGCTGGTCTCAGGAACGGATTGTGAAAGTGTGTCTATAAGCTTATAACTTCCTACACAATCGAACTAAAATAGATTATGTATAATCAAAAACTGATCGTTTTTTTTAAACAAGTATTTTCTTAATACTCAATACCGTTCTTTCAGTTTCAGAGTACAAGAAGAAGAAAGAAGCTGCGTGCGTGTGTCTGTCTGTGTGTGTTTATTTGTTTTGTTGTCTGTTTGTTTTGTTTTGTGTGTTTTTGTTCAGTTTGTGTGTTTTATGTTTTCTTTTGCTTTACTTGTTTGTTTTTTATCTTATTCGTTTTTTCATGTTGTGCATAGGCTTCAACTTAATTTTCAAAGTATTATCGTCATAAAATTGTTCATGAATATAATTGTTACTAATAAAGTCTATTGGAAGATACAGTAACCTTTTGTATTATTTTCTATTTAAAGGGACACAATATTGAAAAAGAACACTAAGAGTTATTGTCAAGTTACGTCCCTTGATAGAAATGAATTTAAAAAAGGAGCAGATTATCCAGGGGACATTTATTAATATAACGTTAAATCCTGGCAAGATAAGATCAATGTTGAATTAGTTGACCTTATAGTATAGTCATTAACATAAATGCAGCAGTGCATCGTTTTGTTCCGACCAACTCCGTCACCCTCCGTTTTTTTAGCTCGGCTTTTTTTGAAGAAAAAAAAAATAGAGAGATTGTTACAGTCGTGTTCCCATTGCCGTCCCGCAACCTTTAACTTTGATGAACTTTTTAAGTTATTGGTGTATTGTCTTCACACTGGGCCAAAACAATCCTTGTAAACTAGACTAAACTTGACCTTCATTCAAAAGTTACATTGACCTTGAAGGTCAAATGTCTAAATTTTGCTTTAAGTGGCTATAACTTTTTAAATGGATTGTCTTCATACTTAAACACAATAATCTTTAAGTTAAGTTAACCTTAGTTTCCCTCCTGTCAAAAAATGACAAGGCGGACAAAGCCCTGCCATGAAAATGACAGGGCGGACAAAAGCCCTCCCGTGAAAATAACAGGGCGGACAAAAGCCCTCCCATGAAAATGACAGGGCGGACAAAAGCCTTTCCGTGAAATTACCAAGGCGGACAATAGCCCTCCCGTAACATTAGATATGTGCCCAGCAATTCAGAGTAGCTATGATATTTCATTTATCGTAAATAGAACTAGATGCTTATATTAATGGCTTTTAAGCTATGTTTGCAAGTATACATATGAAAATATGTCTATTTATTTTAATGTCGGATAATACGGTACGGCGAGTTGCTAGTACATGTATATGCCTTGTATACATTATATAGTAAACGGGTGCTGGATAGTTATTTGGTTCTTGATGATCAAGGGAAGATCATCTTGTGGTAATTTAACAATTATTGGCAAGACAAATGAGTCGAACACATGTGAATGCAGCCAATATGCATGTACCCCACCTGTGCTACAGGACTTGGGAAAAATTATTCTATTTTCATAAAAGATACAAATTTTCAGAAATAAATTACCGAATTTAAGTGCATTTTGCATTTTATCTCTTACGGCTTTCGTTGAACAATTCTGCCAGCGGAAATATATTGACGCCTGGATTGATTCCCGTACTCATTCATTAATATACCATGCTGCGTATCACCGAAAGAACCAATATATGACTTTACATAATAGAAATCGAAAGGATTTTTTTTGTTCCATATGAAATGTTTTATCTGTAAATGGAAGGGATTAAATTATCAAAATCTGGTTCATGGACAAAATATAATCCAAACACAAATAGCTTCGCGTCTATGGGCGTGGATAAATTAATTTATGATAAGTTTTCGACCGTTTCGGTCAAACATTAATAGAGACTTTTCGCTCCGCGCCCCCGCCATTTTAACTTTTTTTGCTTGACGGGGTCGCGGGGCGAAAACACGAATGGCATAAATCAGCCACCATACTTATGGGCTTCATTTTGCTACACTTAAATATTTTTTTTTTGTTCTAAAATCTTAAAGTTGCATGATTTATAGCTCGAATCGTCAAGCGTTCTGCTTTAAGCTTATCAAAATGCTTTGATTCAAACAATAAATCAGTGGAGGCATGAACGGAGTAATTGTTAACACATCTATCGTATATAAAAAACTAATTGCACACGGTGTGCTTATCGTGGCATTTATAATGTCGTCATTCAAGATCGTATCGTATTGTCGCCATGTCACTTCGCATTGTTTGGATGTCACTTCACATTGTCGCGATGTCACTTCGCATTGTCTGGATGTCACTTTGCATTGTCTGGGTGTCACTTCGCATTGTCTGTATGTCACTTTGTATTGTCGCGATGTCACTTCGCATTGTCGCGATGTAACTTTGCATTTTCGCGATGTCACTTCGCATTGTCTGGATGTCTCTCCACATTGTCGCGATGTTAATTCGCATTGTCTGGATGTCACTTTACATTGTCTGGGTGTCACTTCGCATTGTCTGTATGTCACTTCGTATTGTCGCGATGTCACTTCCCATTGTCGCGATGTAACTTCGCATTGTCGCGATGTCACCTCGCATTGTCTGGATGTCACTTCGCATCGTCGCGATGTCAATTTGCATAATCTGAATTTCACTTCACATGCATTGTCTGGATGTCACTTTGGATTGTCTGGATGTCACTACGCATTGTGGCGATGTCACTTCGTATTGTGGCGATGTCACTTCGTATTGTGGCGATGTCACTTCGTATTGTGGCGATGTCACTACGCATTGTGGCGATGTCACTCCGTATTGTGGCGATGTCACTACGCATTGTGGCGATGTCACTTCGTATTGTGCGATGTCACTTCGTACTGTGGCGATGTCACTACGCATTGTGGCGATGTCACTTCGTATTGTGGCGATGTCACTACGCATTGTGGCGATGTCACTTCGTATTGTGGCGATGTCACTTCGTATTGTGGCGATGTCACTACGCATTGTGGCGATGTCACTACGTATTGTGGCGATGTCACTTCGTATTGTGGCGATGTCACTACGCATTGTGGCGATGTCACTACGCATTGTGGCGATGTCACTTCGTATTGTGGCGATGTCACTACGCATTGTGGCGATGTCACATCGTATTGTGGCGATGTCACTACGCATTGTGGCGATGTCACTTCGTATTGTGGCGATGTCACTTCGTATTGTGGCGATGTCACTACGCATTTTGGCGATGCCACTTCGTATTGTGGCGATGTGTGTGTTGGGGGGTCACATCGATTTTTTTACATCAGAGTGATGTGCGTTTTGAACCTCTCAAGAGAAATAATAAAGATATTTAATAGTGTTTCTCTAAACATTATGAAGAATTGAAACATACAGTAACTCTGCTTCCCTTATTATCATTCGACAGAAGGCCATACTGAAAATAAGTAAACTTCTTACTGTGAACTTTGTATGTTACCTTCTATAAATAAAGATTTTATTATTATTATTATTTTACACTTGCTAACTGGCAATGATTTCGCAAAAAGTTTATTCCTTATTTGATTTTATTTCAAACTACTAAGATATTCATTTTTTTATATTCTTTAAGTCCCGTAATGATGTAATTAGCCCACAAATAATAATCACTCGATCATTTGAACATATTAAATTGGCCTTGACGTGTCAAATTTGTGCCAACTTTTGCAACTTTTTGACTCTTACTGTCAAACTTCTGAAATATAATTGAGCCCTGTCACGACAAAACCAACGTTATGCGTTTGCGACCAGCATGGATCCAGACCAGCCTGCGCATCCGCGCAGTCTGATCAGGATCCATGCTGTTCGCTATCAGTTTCTCTACATGTAATAGGGTTGGTAAGCGAACAGCATGGATTCTTGATTCAGACTGCGCGGATGCGCAGGCGCTGGTCTGGATCCATGCTGGTCGCAAACCACTATCATTGGTTTTGACATGATGCGGCTCATATGTTTTGGTAAATTGACATATTTTCAAATGCCTCGCTTTAAGTAACAACTCAGCAACTTAGTTAAAAGACTAATAATATGCCCGGCCCAAGGTATTCCAAACTGTTTGAAATTTATCCCTCCCACGTTGTTAACGAGTATTCGGTGATGTTTGGATTTTAACGTAGGCATAAAACATGCAACGTTGTGACGTCACAGTAGAAGTTGACGGCTTCTCATTAGCAACGTCAATAGTTGCGCCCGGAAGATAAAACCAGCCGTAAATAAATCATTAAAGCATTGAACATTAATGGCTAGTGAAAATCGAGGCTGTTTCGTTTGGCTCATAAGTTTTAAGAAGTCTTGCAACGAAAGGGTGAGTAGGCATTCAAACATTTTAACATTACAGTTTATTAAGATATAGTCAATTCAATGAAAACAAACGCTTTTCTTGAGCTTTAGACGTTTAGTCTTTTTCAGAAAAAGTTGACGTTTATAAAATAACATTTTTTATTTTTTTTTAACATTATTTTAAGATAATAAATTGTGATTTCTGGGGAAACGGACAAAAGCCCCCCCCCCCCGGACAAAAGCCCTCCCGTGTTTTTTTTCAACGCACTTAAGATATTAAATTTGTAACATATATATTTGTTTTTGTTTTCTATTGGTCAAGTATTTTTATGAGCTAGAACCACCTTTCATTCAGAATATACCTTTCAGAAATGTTTAACGAGGTAATATTTTCACACGAATGTCGTTTAAAACAAAGTCACTTTCTAAAGTAATTGATTCATTACAATTAAGGCACTTGGACTTTTAATTTTAGTTAATTTTAACTTCTTTTCATCATTTATTACTCTATTAATCTTAATTTCACATGTGAGTAATCGTGAATAAATATGCACTTACATATTTTAGTACTTATTATTCAGATGTGAGTCAGGAATGTACTCAAGCTCATACAAACACGCTTATAAGGCAATGGAAAACAAAAATATTCATGATTACAATTTTAATATGTGGAGTGCGTTAAAATGAAAATACAAACTATTCAATGTACAGATATGTATTTGCTGCGGGAGGGCTTTTGTCCGCCCTGTTATTTTCATGGGAGGGCTTTTGTCCGCCCTGTCATTTTCACGGGAGGGCTTTTGTCCGCCCTGTCAATTTCACGGGAGGGCTTTTATCCGCCTTGTCATTTTCACGGGATGGCTTTTGTCCGCCTTGTCAATTTTGGACGGGAGGGCTTATGTCCGGGAGGGCTTTTGTCCTACACTCTGATTTCTGTGCATAATTAATGGAATCATTAATAATAATAATAATAATAATAATAAATATTATTATTATTATTATCAATACTATTATTAATATTATTATTATTATTATTATTATTATTAAAAATGAGTTTTAAAATTTGGAAGTAGACAGATATTTAACTGCAGCCGTCTACAGAATATACGCAGACGATCAGTGCAGACCAAGATTAGTCCTTAAATATGTGTTCGTCTGATCATAGTCTGTACTGTTTGCTTTTCATTAAGTACATTTTTGAAAATATCCCTTAAAATGATTAATGGTTTTGTCCAAAGTGAACGATAGACCTGTCTATTTGTGATATTGAGGATGGCAGGGGTAAATGTTTTACCAGAAAAGAACATTGTCTCTTTTGCAGTTTGCAAGATTTCGAAACCGCATGCGCCAAAGATACTATGCAAGAAGAGGAAAGACTCTTGACCCAGAAACCCTGTTAAATGAAACAGGTACTGCCGACATGGTCGTCTGTAAGATTGCCAGCAAGTCAAACAAAGTCGATCCTCAAAACCTGTCATCAAAGAATGGTAAAGTCATAATTTATTTAGTTTGTACATTGTGTTTTCTTTCTGCAGTTATGCACAAATATTAGCTACCTGTATTTGCTTTTAAAAATAAAAAAAAAAAAGCAACAGAAATTTGAAGCACTTAAATGAGTGATTATACAAAAATACTAGAAAACCCCTATGCAAAAATACACAAATGGCAAATTAAGAAGGCCCTGGTAAACACACATTTCCTCAGCCCATTACTGTTACATGTTCTTCAAAAACTATCACTGATAAAAATGCACAAAATTAACTTTTACGATCATTTTCGCCCTCCTGTTTTTGATTATTTTAATTCTTTAATACAAAACAAAAATAGGTTGTAATCTTGCATAAAATTCTACCAAAAACACGTTCCTTTTTTCCAGACGAGGCTGTTGATTCTAAAATTACAACAGTGACAGGGACCGCAGCAGACGATGAGAGCATGGCAGACGACAGTCTTGGTAAATATATTTGAGCCGCGTCACGACAAAACCAACATAATGGGTTTGCGACCAGCATGGATCCAGACCAGCCTGCGCATCCGCGCAGTCTGATCAGGATCCATGCTGTTCGCTATCAGATTCTCTACTTGTAATAGGGTTGGTAAGCGAACAGCATAGATCCTGATCAGGCTGCGCGGAAGCGCAGGCTTGTCTGGATCCATGCTGGTCGCAAATCCATTATGTTGGTTTTGTCGTGACGCGGCTCATTTGTGAACAGTTTCATTACTTATAGTAAATATTTTTTGTAAAATATATTTTAAGAATTCGGCTTCAAAGCTGAAAAATACACAAATGGCAAATTAAGAAGGCCCTGGTAAACACACATTTCCTCAGCCCATTACTGTTACATGTTCTTCAAAAACTATCGCTGATAAAAATGCACAAAATTAACTTTTACGATCATTTTCGCCCTCCTGTTTTTGATTATTTTAATTCTTTAATACAAAACAAAAATAGGTTGTAATCTTGCATAAAATTCTACCAAAAACACGTTCCTTTTTTCCAGACGAGGCTGTTGATTCTAAAATTACAACAGTGACAGGGACCGCAGCAGACGATGAGAGCATGGCAGACGACAGTCTTGGTAAATATATTTGAGCCGCGTCACGACAAAACCAACATAATGGGTTTGCGACCAGCATGGATCCAGACAGTAATCAGGATCAATGTTGTTCGCTATCAGATTCTCTACTTGTAATAGGGTTGGTAAGCGAACAGCATAGATCCTGATCAGACTGCGCGGAAGCGCAGGCTGGTCTGGATCCATGCTGGTCGCAAATCCATTATGTTGGTTTTGTCACTGGGACCGCAGCAGACGATGAGAGCATGGCAGACGACAGTCTTGGTAAATATATTTGAGCCGCGTCACGACAAAACCAACATAATGGGTTTGCGACCATCATGGATCCAGACCAGCCTGCGCATCCGCGCAGTCTGATCAGGATCCATGCTGTTCGCTATCAGTTTCTCTACTTGTAATAGGGCTGGTAAGCGAACAGCATAGATCCTGATCAGACTGCGCGGATGCGCAGGCTGGTCTGGATCCATGCTGGTCGCAAATCCATTATGTTGGTTTTGTCGTGACGCGGCTCATTTGTGAACAGTTTCATTACTTATAGTAAATATTTTTTGTAAAATATATTTTAAGAATTCGGCTTCAAAGCTGAAAAATACACAAATGGCAAATTAAGAAGGCCCTGGTAAACACACATTTCCTCAGCCCATTACTGTTACATGTTCTTCAAAAACTATCGCTGATAAAAATGCACAAAATTAACTTTTACGATCATTTTCGCCCTCCTGTTTTTGATTATTTTAATTCTTTAATACAAAACAAAAATAGGTTGTAATCTTGCATAAAATTCTACCAAAAACACGTTCCTTTTTTCCAGACGAGGCTGTTGATTCTAAAATTACAACAGTGACAGGGACCGCAGCAGACGATGAGAGCATGGAAGACGACAGTTTTGGTAAATATATTTGAGCCGCGTCACGACAAAACCAACATAATGGGTTTGCGACCAGCATGGATCCAGACCAGCCTGCGCATCCGCGCAGTCTGATCAGGATACATGCTGTTCGCTATCAGATTCTCTACTTGTAATAGGGTTGGTAAGCGAACAGCATAGATCCTGATCAGACTGCGCGGAAGCGCAGGCTGGTCTGGAATCATGCTGGTCGCAAATCCATTATGTTGGTTTTGTAGTGACGCGGCTCATTTGTGAACAGTTTCATTACTTATAGTAAATATTTTTTGTAAAATATATTTTAAGAATTCGGCTTCAAAGCTGAAAAATACACAAATGGCAAATTAAGACGGCCCTGGTAAACACACATTTCCTCAGCCCATTACTGTTACATGTTCTTCAAAAACTATCGCTGATAAAAATGCACAAAATTAACTTTTTACGATCATTTTCGCCCTCCTGTTTTTGATTATATTAATTCTTTAATACAAAACAAAAATAGGTTGTAATCTTGCATAAAATTCTACCAAAAACACGTTCCTTTTTTCCAGACGAGGCTGTTGATTCTAAAATTACAACAGTGACAGGGACCGCAGCAGACGATGAGAGCATGGCAGACGACATTCTTGGTAAATATATTCTTTAGATTTTTTGCAATTATTATAGTAACAGTGAGTCAGTATCATTTGTTGAAGTCAAAACACCAGACTGACCTCCCTTTGCTACATTTATTGCAAAATATTTTTACTTCAAGCAC